AAATCCCGCTCTTCTTTGCTGAGCACTTCTGGAGAGCGCAGGGCAAGGAGGCTGGGCTGGCTCCCGCACACCACACACACAGGGTGGGCTTCTTCCCCTTCCTCCCTTAGTTTGGGGCCAAGGGCATCTCTCCCTCCGCATTTATATTGTGCCTATATTATCTGTAGCCTGTGTGTTATTTGCATTGGTGCACCGGCTGTGCTTACTGTGCTGGGCCAATGCCGCGGGGAGGAGGTAGGACGTGCTCCAAAGAGCTTTGAGTCAATACAGGCAATGCGGATGGGAGGTGAGAGGCGAGGAGACATGACCAAGGGCAAACGGCAGGTCAGTGGCAGGGCTGGGAAGCTTGCCAGCCCTCCTGCGTGCCAGGACCCAGAGCGGCAGGGAAGGTGCACCCTCCTCCCTGCCACAGGGAGAGCGTGGGGATGCTAGAGCTGAAGCTGGAGGTTTGGGGGTACGAGGAGGGTATAGCGATGGGAGGATGCTATGCTGGAAAAGCAAACACGATTACTGCTGGCAGCAAGGCTTGACTGTCCTTCCTGCTGATCTCCGAAACCTGGCTCACTCCCGCAGTCCCGCTGCAGGGAGGGCCAGAGGATGGGGGTGACCTTTTAATTCTGATTGCTCTGCTGATGAGGAGTAAATAAGCATTATTGCAGTTTGAGAGCCGCTCAGAAGGGCCTGCCTGCAGATCTATTGCTGTCTCACATCCATTGCACTGATGGTCCCCACACTCCTGGGGTGCGGAGCAGCACCTGTCCCCCATTTCACAGGCAGGGAACTGAGCTGCCGCAGGATGGGGGCAGGAGCCAAGGGCAGCGCCAAGCACCCAGGTTTACCCCAGGACCCTTCCGCCACCTCCCTCGCCGCAGGGATGGCGGGTGCCAGGCACCATCCCAGGTCTCACCAGCATCGCCAGCGCCTGGCACTGCTGCACCAACACCAAGGAGACAGTCCCCAGGAGGGTCCTGCCGTCACCATGGGAAGGGGCACCATTACCTACACCTGCACCCTGAAAGCCCAACTAGACTCGCTTAGTAAGAGGCAAACGCCTGTTTTTAAATCCAAAGGTAGATCTCCCCACTTTGGGGCTTTCAAAGGCTATGACTTCTCCTGCAGTGCAAACCTGAGCTGGCAGCGTGGTGGCAAGAGCCAGTTGTGCTCGCGAAAAACTCATTGCTAGGTGACACCTTGCCCTCACCGGGGCCCGGATCTGCCGGGCAGAGCACCCGTGTGTCAGCAAAGCAATCCCCAGGGAGAGGCTGCTAAAAGCAGCTAACATGTCGGGGTAGGACGTCTGCATTTACACCTGCAATACCAGACATGGTTTTGCTCTCAGCAGCTACCCGAGGAGCTGTTTCCAGACAGCACCAGAACCTAATGTGCCTGTGAGGGAGAAGGATGCCCAGTGCCCAGCTCGGTGCCCCCTCTCTGGTCGCTGGTGCCGGCTCCGGGGAGGAGCGCGGCCTCTGCACCGGGCAGTGCTCTCCCCTCCACACACCAGCCAATTCCTCCACGCTACCTCTCCATGCTCCTATTTAATCTGTAAGCTCTTCAGAAACACGATTGCTTCTCACAATGCCTGTGTACAGCCTTGAGCACAATGAAGCCCCGCTCTGCCCCGGCGCCGCTCGCTGCAGTTGCAATCCGAACAGTAAGACAGTCATCGGGTGGGAATACAGCCGCCTTCCCCCCGAGCCGGGACAGACAGTGCGGCTTTGTGTCTGCTCACAACTGGGCTCAGCACACGCAGTCTATACAGCAATATTCATGCATGTGGTGCCCTAACACGCCGCACACAGTAGGTCTATTGTACATCATTCAAACGACAAGATATCAGGGACTAACCGAGCGCTCCGCTCCCAGGGTGGGCGATGCTGCTCAGGAGCAGGCAGCGATGCCGAGTTCCAGCGCTGGAGGAGGAGCGGGGACCTGCCACGCCAAGCAGCCACAGATGCTTGGAGAGGCAAAGAAGAGTTAACCAGGAGCGGAGCGACACTGCAGGTCTTGCTAAAAACGCAACCATGCTGCAGGCAGTTTGATCTGCCTGTACAATCAATACTCAGCGTCACCTATGTGCTCCGCGCTGGGCTGCTGGACCCAGGTCCACCCCGTGTGAATGTACGTGCCCCGTTCCCGGTGGCTGGGGCGAACAAGATGCCAGATTCAAGCTTTACCTGGAGCGGCCAGTCTGCCCATGCCCCATGATG